TGTGTGTGTGTGTGTGTGTGTGTGTGTGTTGGGGTTTCACTCTGTAGCCCAGGCTGGAGTGCAGTGGCATGATCAGGCTCACTACAGCCTCGACCTCTTGGGTTCAGGTGATCCTTCTGCCTCAGCTTCCCAAATACCTGGGACTATAGGCATGTGCTACCATACCTGGCTAATTTTTTTGTAGAGACAAGGTCTCGCTGTGTTGCCCAGGCTGGTCTTGAACTCCTGGGCTCAAGTGATCCTCCTGCCTCAGCCTCCCAGAGTGCTGGGATTACAGGCATGAGCCACCACACCCAGCCCAGAGTATGCATTTAGATTTTTTTTTTTTTTTTGAGTTGGAGTCTCACTCTGTCACCCAGACTGGAGTGCAGCGGCCCCTCCCGGCCACCGCAGCCTCGACCTGCTGGGCTCCGGCAATCCTTACGCCTCAGCCTTCTAAGTAGCTGGAACTACAGGCGCGCGCTACCACTCCCAGCTCATTTTTTATTTATTGTAGAGATGAGGTCTCGCCAAGTTGCCCAGGCGGGTCGCGAACCCGTGGGCTCAGGCAATCCACTCACCTCAACCTCCCAAAGGCGTGGGATTACAGGCTGAGCCACTGAGCCCGGCTGCATTTAGATTTCAACAGAATGTCAAGGGACCTCCAGGCAACTCTCACCAGCAAGGAAGGGAACATAGGTGCATCAGACAGCATCCCTCTGAGCAGAACTGAGACGGGACCAGGAGGTACTGGGAGGAATAGTACCAGAGCCCATGGGTCAGGTCCCCGGCAGGGCTGTTTTGATACAAAAGGAGAGCTGAGTGCCGTGGCCCTCGGCTGCTCAGATGGTGGTCAGCCCACTGCTTCCTTCATCCAGAAAGTCTTACTGCCTAGATGTCTCCCTGGAACAATAAATAAAAATAATGTTCGTTCTTCGTGGTCCTTATCTCACTGTGGACACACGTGGCCAATTCAGCCATGAACCATAGCTGGGAAGCTCTGTGGAGGGCACAGAGCTGCCAGCACAGACAGATGAGGGAGAGTACCACATGGCTGCTTCTCACATGACTGTCCCCAACAGAGGCCCCTGACAGGGTGCCAGTGTGTTCACTATGACTCTGTATCATCCACTAGATTGCATTGGCGTCTCTGGTCAGAGTGTTCTCTGGGTCAGTGTAAACATTCACACTCTACTATAGACTGTCATTCTGTCATTTTCAAAAAATGAACTTTAGACTGGAAGCAGTGACTCATGCCTACAAATCCCAACTCTTTGGGAGGCTGAGATGGGAGGATTGCTTGAGGCCAAGAGTTCGAGGCCTTGTCTCTACAACAAATGCAAATAAAAAAATTAGCTGGGCATGGTGGCATGCATCTGTAGTCCCAGCTACTAGGGAGGCTGAGGCAGAAGGATCCCTTGAGCCCAGTAGTTTGAGACCAGCCTGGAAAATATGGCAA